GACGTAGTTATCGTGGTCGTAAGTTCTTACGCTGACTCTGACTCCTTTCGGCTATTCACCAGATAAAATACTCCACCAATTACCGATAATGGACTTCACTTTATGCCCGACATACCTTAATAATAATTATATACGCGCTCCCTCCATCGATTTTTGAATAGCCTCGGCTTTTACTAATGAAAACGCATCATAATAAACTCCGAATCCGAAAGATGACCGAAATTTTCCGAGCCTCGTATCAAGTTCACGATGGGACACCGACTTTTGCTGCTGCTGCATGCGACACTTAAACACTGAACAATTCGTAATTTCGTATTAATTTCACCAAATCCCGTGTATGCGAACTGTTAGTGCACATAATCTGGTGAAGGGATGGGGGAAGAGTAGACGGGGGGGGGGGGGGGGGGGGGGGGGGTTCGCAGTCGGCTTTTACCATCCCTTCCTAATCCTACATGGGGATCTTAGCCCTTATTTGAGGAATATAACGCCCCGCGGGGAAAGCCCAGCCGAGTCTCCACTTGCATGGATTTGCGGTAGCGGTCGCATATCAGCCTAACTAAATCACATAAATGTCGATGCGCTTTCCTTACCTCTACAATTTGCATTTTTCTTTGAAAATGTTGAGGAAACAAAAATCTCTCTAGACTTCAGTGAGGTACATCAGAGCTTTGACTTTGGGTCCAGAATATCCACGTGAGGCCACAATGATCTATTCGTGGTTTTGCAGTTGCCCTCAATTGAATAGGAAGATTTCGTTTAACTAAGAAGTGAACTTATGTTGGTACGAAACGTCTTCATTGTGGCTTGTGGTAGATTGGGTTTACCGTCCTTATGAAATACTATTTGAACAAGAATAACAACATGCCTATATAACTTCCATCTCCCTTGATTATGCTAGAATAGAACCGCATGACGTAAATGCAATTCCAAGATTCAAAGGCAAACCTAATTAGGGGGAAACACCGTTATTCTGCACGTTAAATAAAATCGTTAATCTGGAGATTCCGAACTGTATCAATTAGAGGAGTAAGCTTAGGTGGAGGGGGAACCCCCGCCCCCTGCAACCACACCACTCTCAATGAAGACCTACATTAATAATAAGAGAACGAAACACCCCTTTCTGCCGCCCTCCATCACAAGGGAATTGTCTAACGGACCATTAAACCAGCCTTTGGCGCTGTTTGCTCCTGCAGTGGCGTATACAGGGCGTTGAAAATAAAGAAGGGAGAGGGGAAGGGAGGGAGGGGGGGGGGGGGGTTGTTCCTGTCAACCGAACGCCTAAGCTCCTGCCCTCGGCTTTCTATCCCGCCGTTGCATTAATGAGTCGCACTTCTGCAGCATTTTCTTTCATATTCCTATTATCTTTAGAGGCGACATGATTAATAATATATCTCGGCTGGGAACGATTTAATGGAGAATAGAGAGTGCGGCCACCTTATGATTATAGCGAACTCAATACATATCCTGAACACATCTTTCTATTTAAGTTCATTGCCTTCAGTGAGATCGTGAAATAATATGGTAATTTTCAACCACTCTTGAAATTGCAAGGTTATTGTCTAAGGAGAACTGTTCGAAATATTCGTTTCTGGTATTTGAGATTGATTACAAAATTATTCGTTGAACAAACTAATGAATTTGTAACTATTTTCTCACAGGCGTAAGATATTCTGCATTTTGCAGCGATAAATATCAATTTTCATGTTTGTCATAATATTATCATCATTCCTGTCATTTGCTGATATCGAATTTCACTTCTCTCTCTCTCCCTCTCTCTCCTTTTCCTTTTCTCCTTTTCTCTTGTATTTTCAGGTATTTTGTCTTTCTGTCTTTCTGTCTTTCTTTCTTATGCATAGGTTTTTCTTTCTCTCCCTCTTTTTTCTTCGTCCTTTCTTTATATATCAACCCATCACTCTTTGGCTCACAGGCATACACGCAAGCAAACACACACACATACACATACACACACACCTGCATACCCGCACCCACACATACGCTCTCTCTCTCTCTTCTCTCTCTCTCTTCTCTCTCTCTCTCTCTCTCTCTCTCTCTCTCTCTCTCATGAACTCTTTCTTTCTCTGTCTCTCTTGTTTCAATTATCTGCTTTCTGCAACCTCATCCTTCCCTCTGTCACCCTAGCCCTCTTCTCCATTTCTTACTTTGCACAACAAGCAGATAACGACGAAGATGAATGCTCTATTATTGACGAACATTAGAGACCTAAAAATTATCTTCCGCAAAAAATTAAGTATACGAATTTTGAATCATTTAGTTTCTCTAGTGTCGGAGTAAATATATACGAGCTAAGAAAATACTCTAGGAAATATCTTTCAAAATTTGCAATGCGATGAAATTTACTTTTCACACACACACACACACACACGCACGCACGCGCACACACACACACACAAACGTATTTTTAAATTATAAATATTTTTTAAATTTGATATGCGACATAATTCTTTAGCAAAAAGTATTATGAGATAAGAGATATGAGCAAAAAGCCAGCAATATAATTTTTGAATGAACTCATACTTTATTCCGAATGCGTAGACGTTCACTCTTCATTGCCATAGCACTTTAACCTTATGAGCCACATTAGCATATATCGGCCTACTTGGAGGGAATTTTTTTTATTGAGGCTTTTGGAAAGATGGGGATCAATAAAATAATATGAAATTACAACGGAGCATGGGTGAGGTTGAGCAGTTTTTTTTAATATAATTAACAGTTGTTCCCTCTTCTCTCTCTTTCTTTCTCTCTCTCTCTCTCTCCCCCTCTCTCTCTCTGCCCTTCACACATGACGCGCACACTTCTAATATCCCTCTGACTCTCCCTCTCGCTAACCCTCTCTTCGTTGCTCTTGCTTGCCTCTCACTCACTTGATCTGTCTCTCATCCTCTCGTCCACCCTCTCTCATACACTCACCTGCAACCTCGCTCATACACGCTCTCTTGCTTCTCGTCCTCCTTCCGATTTTTGAATATTAAATTAAATATTATTCGACTCAGTATCTCTGTCCCGGCCTCTATAATAATAGTTAAAACAGCCTTCAATCTATCGTCGCTCGCAGTGTTTTTCTTTTAGTGTGTGGATTATCCTTGCACGCAGTTTCCATTTAATACCAGCCTATTCCTTTCCCTACTAAAATGTCATTTGCATGGCAGAATATGTCTGATTGAATACATAAAACAATCATATTTCTCCTCATATTGCTTTCTTCATTGATATTCATTGTCTTTCTAGCCATACGCCACTTTTTTTCTTTCTCGCTCACCACAATTCTCTGCTTCTCGATTATCGTAAAACGCCCGACGTTGTTGGGTTTTGTGAAATTTCTGGCGCTACTATTTTCTAGCCCTATTACGCTATCAAATTCAAGAATATGATTGTTAGTTCTTTCGATCGCAACTTTAGGTTAAGATTTATTCATACACCCAGAATTCCTTCTAGTATTAGATAAGTATAAAATTAATGTTGACATTTTAGGTGAAATAGAAAGGGGAAGGTTAGCAGGAATTCCCCGAAGCATCAAGCGTTTGGCGAGGCCGCCATAACGAGACAATTAATTACGTAAAGATGTGTGTACAATGCACAGGCGTACATGCGTACGATTCCCTTGCTTCTAATTCCTTTGAATTTTCCCTATCAGATGGGGTATACGTGCAAAATAAAGAAAACATTGCCCGACTTTGAGAATATTACAGTTTCGATTATAGATAAGTTCAAAAATGAAAAATATATTGCAGATTCGAGTTGTAGAAATGGTTTCAATATAAAAAGATTTTTATTCCTGAATTTTGTATTTCTATTTTATTTCCTATTCAAAACAAAGTTGTTGTATATAGCTCAACAATCAAAGGATTATATGTCTCTTTTATATTGTTTGTTCCATTTTTGTTGTTCATGAATATCAGAAATCCATTATTGAAAATATGTTTGTCTTCTGTTAACTCGACAGTTCAACAAATATTTGTATCTTGAGTAGTCAATGTTATTCATGTTATAAATATGAATTACCTTGAATATTATGTTTGTTAATTTGTTGGAAATGAAAATCAATAAAATCCCCGTGGAGGGAAAAAGTATTTAAAAAAATCTTTATCATTTTGTCCTCGTTTGTATTTAAAAAAAAAAAAAAAAAAAAAAAAAAAAAAATCGTTATCATTTTGTCCTCGTTTGTTAGTTCGTAGTACCGTTAACACTGTCGTTTGTTTGTTAATAGTTTTGCGGTTTTTTTCCTCCATCCATAAGGACTATTGTCTGCTGCATATACAAAACAGACAATATAAGTGTATCGCATCCAAATATCCAAATGGAAATCAATCAAAGGACAACTATTTCCAAGCCGGACAACTAAATGTATGTTAAAATAACTGTCTAGCTCGGACAAGTACTCCTAGGTCGATCACGGAAAGGACCTAATACGTACCATTCAAATTGCTACCTAGGGGATACAGTAGTATAGTCTTGGGATAGTTGTCCGGGGTAGTTGTCTAGGGTTATACCATGGACCTACTATAAGAAGGTCCGTGGTTATACCATGGGTTATTGTTCTATGTGTAGTTGTCCGGAGATTCTCGAGTTGTCCAGGGAACGTTGTCCGAGATTATAAAGGAGTACTTTTTTAATAGGCGGCAGTTGTCCAGGTTGGTGATAGTCCTAATGTAAAGTTGACCCAGAAGATCGTCCCAAATGGTTGACATCCGAGGGATGACGAATAGAATATACACGATTTAAGCCCCACTGCACTAGTTTCGCCAGGAGGGATTAGACCTCCCTGCATGGTCACTGACAGGTGGTTATCTAAAAAAAAAATCAGCTCTCAGTTAACATAAGAAAAAGAGGATCATGGGGGACTAATGGTCACCGATTTTACATTGTTTGCTATATAGAGGGCGCAAGTATGCTATAAGTAGTGCAGTGTTGCTTTATTAAAGAGAATGGTGTCTCTGCAACTTGTGTCAAACCTGTCTTTCCACACCTACTTTTTTCCACAGGGTGTCAAGCGGAACTTCACGTGTTCCTTGAGGCGTGTGGTTGTCATGACGATATGGATCGGGCTCGGTTGTCTGGCCATCAGCGTGTTTCGCGCCCCTTCCGAATACGACATGTCACGTGACCCATCCAGATCGCAGCTCCTCCCACTTCTAAGGGCCGACGTCGGCAGGCAGATGAACATGCACCCTGATACCACACCCAATAAATCATCTCGAGACAAGTGAGTCACGTGACGTTTTTCATTTTTTTTCTCGTCTGATAATGATGTTCCCAGCGGCACGCATGATAATAATAATAATACATTACATTTATAAAGCGCTTAATACAATGTTTCTAAGCGCAAGAGAAAGAAGAAAGGAAAAGGAAGGAAAAATGAAAAATGTTAAAGAAACATGTTTAAAATATTGAATTACAAGTAAACGGCAAAGAAGAATATGACATTAGACAACATAAACTATATAAAAATTGATTGCAATTATAGATAAACCAGATATGAACTAAGAATTATAATAAACCATGTGAAATATTCAAATACAACTTAAATACAAATTTTTATATTCAATATAATAATGATGCATATTGAAATACATATCATACAACATTATACAATAGAAATTACAATATCGTTAAAGTGCAAGGTAGTATAATTAATACAAATCACTTGGGGAGAGGGAGGGTAATCACAGTTATGGCAAGAAGTGGGTATTCAGGAGAGAATGGAAAAAGGGGTATCTTGAAATTTAAGTGATTAAAATAAATTACTTGTGCAGACTAGAGGTTCCTTTTTTAATTTTCGAGCTCTTTCAAAATATGTAGAAAAAACAACTGAAAGGAGCAGAGAGAGATAATAGTTTGTAATTTGGAGCTCAATGAATTGCCCTTTGATCGCATGTCACAACTATCACTATCAATACGCTATGATGTAATCTTGACATTAAAGGAAATGCCAGATCACCTAGATTGATTAAATTGCCGTGCACACTATTAGCCCCAAATGCATGAACTAGCTACGAGTTTTTTTGATGACCAAAGCGATATTATTCTGTTGTTTTCTTTCTGTCTAGCAACTGAGCAAGAATTACGACAAGTTACGAGGAAAAGAACACAAATACATTATTTCGTTATTCTCCATGTAAATTCGTTCAATTGTTTCCTATGTTCCTGAGAAAGTAAGAAGAAGTGAGTCTCACTTTCCGACTACTTCGATGTCATCATCCGAACTTATTTCGAGGACGCGAGCAGTAACGGTCGTCCCCTCGGCTCTGTCAATTGTCCCGATTAGGATTCATGATATTCTGCAGTTCCCGACTGAGTCATTCCACTTCGATGAAAAGAGTTCCTCGACGGGCTACCACTTCATCAACATCTTTCCATCCTCTGTTTGGATTTTCTTAGTTTTAACCTCAAAAGAGAATAGTAACGAATGCAGGACGTCAAGGCCTAAATCGCCGAGGATATCCTCCACTGGGAAAAATAGATGGATTGGTAAAAGGTGTTGGAAGAAATCGGGCAAAGGAAATAGGGTAGAGAGAGAGAGAGGGAGAGAGAGAGAGAAAGATAGAGAGAGAGAGAGAGAGAGAGAGAGAGAGAGAGAGAGAGAGAGAGAGAGAAGGGGGTGGGGGGGGGGGGGTTGACCCAGTGGCGGATCAAGGATTTTCCAAAAATCGCGCCGATTTACTGTTTTACTTTTTTCTTCTTCTCCCCCCTTTTCCTTTCTTTTTTTCACTTGGCCGCTCAAGGGGGGGGGGGGCGTTTAAACCACCGAAGCCCCCCCTAGATCCGCCCCTGACATACAGAAAACCAGACAAACAGGGAGTTAGATTAACTGAAAGTGAGAAGAGAAGAGGGAGGAATAAAGCTTTATTGAGGAAAAGGTTAAAGCTTAAAGTGGAAATTTTTTTTAAAAAAAGAGAGAGAGAGAGAGAGAGAGAGAGAGAGAGAGAGAGAGAGAGAGAGAGAGAGAAATAGAAACGTGGGGGAGGAGTTAAAAAAGAAAGAGAGGAAGTATTTTGTGCTCTTAGGCCATATATGACGGACATAAGATAACGAACACTTGAAGATGTTGATGAATACAGTGGCGTAGCGAAATATTATCATGAGACATGTGAGAGGTGCACCCGTCTGGTTTTTCTATAGTTTAGCCATACAAATGCAACAAACTAAAGAAGGCTCTGGACCATAGGCTGGATTCTCCCTCTTCTCACAACCTTTTATATTCCTTTGCGACCACACTCTTAATCCTTCTCCTCCTCCTCCTTTTCCTCTTTTCCCCTCCCCCTCCTGCTCCCCTTACATCCTCCCCTCACTCCCTTGCTCTCTCTCTCTCTCTCTCTCTCTCTCTCCCTCTCTCCCTTACCCCATTTTTCGTGTATCATATGGATGTAGATGGTGATCCTTTCCTTGCTAGGCTCATTCATTCGTGTTGCTATGACTAGAGGAAATGCCGAAGCTCGTATTATTGATTTGTAAGAAAATTAGTACGGTTGCTTCTATCGGCACCGCCTTAACAAATTTGTGCTTCACCTTCTGCAAAGACTCTAACTAGCACTATGTGCGCACAGTTGGTTTTATGCTCAGCTGCCCAATCTCAGGTCACTATGATATATACAAAAAGTAACCGTGTACATCTGTAAAGGAGTAGTGAGAATTATCCAGAACTTGGAACAGTCTGACACTTGAAGCGACAGCAGAGGGTGTCTGGACTGCTTCCATAAACAGGCAGTGGATAATTATTTACCGTAATACCCAAACAGATCAACACTATTAGTTTCATAAAATTTTGAGAGGGGAATCATTGTCATAAAATCAGCCCATCCCAAATTCTATATTATATGCCTACACGTATGTAGGAAGAGTCGACTAAGAAAAAAAAGTTTAGAAAAAACAGTTGAAGTATGAACCTATAAACCGTGTGTATTTCTAATTAGGAGCGTTCAGTGAAAAAACACTTTCAAAATATTATGTACGTTTTATTGTTGTTGCGCGAACGTGATCTTAAGAAAAGGGCGGAGAACCCTCGTTGAACAATTCATTCAACTTGACAGTGTGACGAGGTCTGCAAAGGAAACGTGCTCGAACGACATAGATGGATAGATTTCTTGGTGTCATGAATCTGCACGTAATAGCCTTATTATTCTTATTGACAGGGATAGAGGAGGAGGAGGAGGAGGAAGAGGAGGAGGAGGAGGAGGAGGAGGAGGAGGAGGAGAAGGAGGAGGAAGTGGAGGAGGAGGAGGAGGAGGAGGAGGAGAAGGAGGAGGAAGTGGAGGAGGAGGAGGAGGAGGAGAAGGAGGAGGATAAGGAGGAGGAAGTGGAGGAGGAGGAGGAGGAGGAGGAGGAGGAAGTGGAGGAGGAGGAGGAGGAGGAGGAGGAGAAGGAGGAGGAAGTGGAGGAGGAGGAGGAGAAGGAGGAGGAAGTGGAGGAGGAGGAGGAGGAGAAGGAGGAGGAGGAGGAGGAGGAGATGGAGGAGGAGGATAAGGAGGAGGAGGAGGAGGGGAGGAGGAGGGGAGGGGGAGGAGGGGAGGGGGAGGAAGGGAGGAGAAGGAGGAGGAGGAGGAGAACGAGGAGGAGGAGGAGGAGGGGGAGGAGTAAGAAGAGGAGGAGAAGGAGGAGGAGGAGGAGGAGGAGGAGGAGGAGGAGGAGGAGGAGAAGGAGGAGGAGGAGGAGGAGGAGGGGAGGAGGAGGGGGAGTGTTGGCCGATAAGATAATTGAAAGTTATCGTCAGTAAGAATGACATCCAAACAATGATCCAATTATAGTCGTCTGACTATCCTCATAAAGCAAACAAAAAAGTTGCTAATTACATTTATTCCTGATTTTGTTACATTGATAATTTTATCAAACACCCCCCTCTCTCTCTCTCTCTCTCTCTCTCTCTCTCTCTCTCTCTGTTACTCTGACCTCAATGCCATTCTGCTTTATACTCCTCGTCGGGACGAGAAATTGTAAAATTAAACTGAAGAAAAAAGTGTGAGTTTAATACAGGCCATTCGCGTATTTCGTCTTAATAATTGCTTCGTTTCCATGGTGACTCACACAAAAACGATGAAGAGAAATACCAGTAGAAGGCCATTTTTCTGCAAAGATCGTTTTCACCGCAGCAAGATGCACGCTATACATGGCTGTATATTAGATGTATTATATTGATTTTATACTCCTCCCTTCTCGTCTCTGACGAGCTTAATTTTTAATTCTATTACAGGACACCAATATGCATGTCTTATTCATAACAATGACCTTCAGGTTCCCTTAAAGCTAAAGACCAGTTATGGTCATGCGATTGCATTATGAAAGAAACGTTGTGGAATCGATCAGAAAAGGTTGATCATCTAGCATCTAGCATCTGCAAGGTTCTGGAATCATCAAAATGATAAGAAATTTGGCCCATTCTTCGTAAAGTTACAAGCACTATACACAGAAAGATTTATATGGGACTACCCTATATCTCTCACAGACCATGAGAGAAACAAATTTACCAAATATATGAATTAGTAGGCGGTTTCCCGGCAAATTTTTTATCATCATGTATTAGTCAAAACATATTCTTTCACATGATTGGTAATGAGAGCTTCCATTTCATTTTTTGAAATTGGGGCGTTTCCAATACTGGTCTTTACCTTTAAAATACCAAAATGAAGTAGTCATTCGATCTTTGGTGGTTTTTGTGGTATTAATCAGTCGAACTAGAAACTGTGTCAAATGTAATGGCTTAACGACTCTGAATAGGAATAAGAAGAAAGAAACTCGTTATTGTAGGACATCAATGCTTATGTCTTACTCATATTAATGTCCTTCATGAAATGGTCATCCATTATGTGGTATTAATGAGTCGAACTTGATACTGGGTCATACATATTATTAATTAATGACTAGGCGACTCTGATCTTGAACTGTCAGCTTGATAGATGGACTGCAAATGGAAATGACCATACTCCTGACACAAACACACAAACACACACGCACACACACGCACACACACCCACACATACATCTACATAATCCCACCCGCGCGTACAATTTCTTTTATGCTTTTCCGTTATTTTTATTTTGAATTCATTAAATATCAAAGCAATACAACTGGTTCTTCAAAATACAATTCTTTTTCGTCATAATACAATAATTAACACCTCCCCACGCACACACATACGCACACACGAAAACACACACACATCTTATCTTTTATATGAAGTGTTGGTTATGATATAGAATCATAGTCACCAAGAGCTATATCTTTATCCTTTCCCATTTTGTTCTGTTTTGTAAAAAAGACGGAATCATACACAAGTGATGGTGTAAACTGGAGCCATTAGATACTCCAGTTCTACCAATGAGACCTACATCAGACCGAACAAAGATTCGTTATACAAAAAACGGCTAAAATTCGGTCGATTTGGAGCCGGTGTAGGGTCGAAAGGGCGGCGTCACTTAAACCGCGGTCAAATGGACGAGACCGATCCCAGACCGTCAACAGGCCGATCAAAGCGTTGCATTACATCAAATGGCGAAGAAAACAGACGGTTTTGGAGTCGATTTGGTGGTGTGATTAACAACTCGGTTACAATTACCAGACCGACAACAGACCGACACCCGACCGATAACCGATCGAACAAAACATTGCATTCCATCGAATGGCGAAGAAAACGGTCGGTTTTGGAGTCGGTTTGGATGTGTGATTAACAACTCGGTCACAATTACAAGACCGAACAAAATATTGCATTACATCGAATGGCGAAGAAAACGGACAGTTTTGCAGTCGATTTGGTGGTGTAATTAATAATACATAAGTTACAATACAAGAACGAACCAAACATTGTTACACAACGAATATCCAGCCAGGAATCGGTCGGTTTGGATTCGGAAGGAGTCAGTTTATTGGTGTGACTGTCATTATTATTTATCATTTTTTACTCCTGCTGCTGTTGATGCATTCATTACTTTGCTCCTCGGCAGCATGGCTGCAGTGATGACAGTGGCACCCTTCGATGAAATGCTATCTATATTCTTTGATTCATGAATAAATGATCATTACCGCTGAGATATAGCAAGTTGATCGTAAATGAAAATAGTCGACGTGCTAAATTATCTACCTTACACCTCAATAACATAATGCCACCCTTGAGGAATTTTTTTTAATCTTAAAAAAAATAAAAATCCACATCTGTTTATGAAGTAATTCTTATGACTGCGATATATAATATGAAATCTATGTAGTATACATAATATACAAACACATATATATCTAACGGCCACGCCACGCCGTCTTCTATTATGATGAAATAATAGAATCGAGCTCCGAGTGAAATCAGGTTTTTGTATTGGTCCGCTAGCTATATGACTTTCACTCGGGGGTGGGGTTAGTCTCAGATAGACCACTGTATCAGTGTATGATATTATATTATTAAAATATAAAATACAAAGAAACAAATCCAGAAATAAAGTGCTTGGACACGATTTGAATTACGATGTCACTTGGTAATTATTTAATTAATATGAATGACAAATCTCATCCATCAAATCAGAATAATAAAAATAATACAATTGATATATAAATGTTGCAATAAATATAATTGCAAAGTATTCTTAAGGGTTAAAGGGCGACTTAATTCTTACTTAATTAGTTACAGTCTAATGGGGAAGGGAAGGGATAGGTTAATGGAAATGAAGTTAGTAATTATGGCCACTTAGCTCGCTGATATTTCGATCGAGGACTTGACTTGGAACGGGATGCGACTGGGACGAGCTTGGACGAGACTTGGAGGAACTTGACTTGGAGGAACTTGACTTGGCGGGAACAAAGCTGGACGTGACTTGATGACTTGGCGGGTACGGAAACGGGAACTTGACTTGGACGAAACTGGAAGTTGACTTGGACACTTTGATGGTTGTGTGAAAGTCCTTTAGCTTAAACGTTAAAGCTTTGTTTCAATTTAACTGTTGCTGCTTTCTGTCGATCATGAAATTCTCTCAACCTGATACTGTTGCTCTTTGCTAGAATATATCGTAGAAGGTCAACCAAAACTGTTGCTTCACTTCTCCAAAGTCCAAATCTTGAAGTATGTTCTATATTTGATCTTGGAGCACTGATGAGTTAGAGATGGGTTAGGAGGAGAAAGGTTCCGGGTGGGGACGTTCTAAGTGAGGGGGTTCCAAGAGAGGGGTTCAGCTAAGGTGGGGGGTTCCAAGTGAGGATTTCATGCAGGGGATGGGGGTTTTATACCTAATTACATATTCACAATCTCGATTCTGAGATCTCCTCCTACAAAATATTCTTACACTAAACTTCACTATTTCATTATAATTACAGTAGGTGACTGGGCGGGCATAACATTTGATGGACACTCAAACAGTGTTCCTGGACCATTAATCCTAACATTCTGATTGGGCGAAAGTAAAAATAAGGGGAAGGAGTAGAAAAGACAAAGGCTCATTGGACAGTTGGGTATATCCCTGCTAGTACTTCCTGCGCTGACCCAACTCCTTTTCCAAGAAAACAAATGCTTTGTCTTCCAGCCCAAACTGGAATTCGCAGAGGCAGAAGGACAATTTATATGTTTGCTTATCATCAAAGATTGTCAACATTAACTTCCTCTCCCTGTGTTTCTAATCCTGGGGTAAATAAATCTAAGTCTTGACAGGGAGGTGTTTTAAAAGTTCTGGGAACACTGGATGAATAGGGGCTTTGTCTACTATAGGTCATGTAACTATTCTATGTGAACAGATTTAATCCTATCCTTTCCTTCATGTGAATGGACCTAAACTCCAATGAAATAAGGGGCATTCTCATTATCTACAAACACTCTATTCTTGGAATACTTGGACAAGTGGAAATGACCAGGTTTCATCCTACTAATAGTTTGTTGACCTCCAGTAGAGAGGATGATGAAAATAGGAGAGAGAGAGAGAGAGGGGGGGGGGGGGTATCTGGTTTAAAGGGAGATATCTCTACTTCGCTACATATATTTTACAGAACATTAGCTTGCTTGGAAAGTTGTAATGTTTAAATTAACGATAATATCTTAACATGCTTTTCGGATAGGACGTTAAATGGAGGCCCCGTGTACAGGAGAGTCACCACCCTTGCACGTTAAGAACCCATTGCACTATTTGTATAAGAGTAGGGGGAAACCCCGGTGTAATGGTCCACCTGCACACCCCAATCAGGCTGAGTATACGGCATCTGCAAGAATCTTCAGTATTGAAGGAGGCAGATTATCTTGAAGAAGAAGAAGGAGAAGAAGAAGAAGAAGAAGAAGAAGAAGAAGAAGAAGAAGAAGAAGAAGAAGAAGAAGAAGAAGAAGAAGAAACAATTCATCGATAACGGGCTGTTTTTGCTTTTACTTGAAAATAGTTAGAATTTGGCGTATAAGATACTCATCGGGAATTTAATTGAATTCCTTTCTGAAGGAATTGTATAAGCCCTATATCTTCGACCAATTATGCACATACCATGTACGTCTGTCAATAAGGATGGATAGCACTACTGCATGAAATGAGGATCATCATGTTACGAACTGAGGTCATTTAAGAATTTTGGCGACAGTAAAACTATTTATCACAACCAAATTGACAATTGAACCTCACGTTCCCTATTTGTGGTTTCCATTATTTTCTTTGACCCCCTCCCCCCCCCCCCCCCAAAAAAAAAAAAAAAAATTGTACATCAAACTTCCCGATCTTCCCATATTTTGCTTCAGTCCGATGTTAAATTCTTCGGCAACGAAGTTCGATATTGGAAAGAAGACTATATTTTGTGCATAGTACACAAACTACGTACATCATTTAAAATGATCACATATCCATCACGTTGGCTATTTAAAACGCCTTGCGTGGTGACGATATGATTTGTATAATTATTTTAAAGTCAATTATTAAGTACGTTGACATGAGTTTCATTTTTAATAGCGGGCGTGGTGCAGCAGCCACAAATACTCTGTCGCCACACCCAACTTCTCTTTGTTCGTAATTGAACATGATGGCATAAACATCATTCAAGGGGAATTTAAGTACCCTATTGTATATCTCGAATAAATCAGGTTTGCATTACATAGTACGTCTGACTCATTTTAATGTTCACGCATTACAAGAAGAGACGGACAAGGCTTTTAAAATGGCATTATTTTGATTCTTTGAAAATCTTCGCAATCGTGTTTCAACCTTAAGAAAATGGTGAAGATGTAAAAATAAAAAAGGTGTGCGTGCGTGTGTGTGTTTATCTGAATAATGTAGTTTCTGTTTTTGATTAATTTAAATCAGTATCTACTTGGAATTTGTTTTATGTTATTTTCCCTCTCTCTCAGAGGGCCCATTCCTCACAAGCATTTTCTTTTCGTCATTTTCATTTTACATACTGTATTTTGCATTAATGATTTTATGTTTTGATGGTAGTATGGTTAAATAAAATCTCTCTCTCTCTCTCTCTCTCTCACTCTCTCTCTTGAATCTCCCTCTAATATAATTGTCACCTTTTTGCATTTTTGTGGTGACAGGAAAAATGACCAGCAAGCAGGGAGAGGCAAGGACGAGAAGAAGTCAGCGGACGAACCCAAGAGAGTGGTCAAGGTGGTGAGGGTCATCCGACGAGTCGTCCAGAAAGTGGTCACCTCCGATGCGGACAAAACATCCTCGAAGGATGTCCTCAAGTTCTTCAGTCATGCATCCAAGCTCCACCCTGTATCGGTAACCGACGACGAGAACAAGTAAGTGAACAAGTCTCTGAAATGAAATAAATTCAATCAACTAATCAATCAATCAATCAATAAATAAATCAGTCCATCTGTCAGTCAGTCAGTCGATCAATCAATCAGTAGCAATGATATGTTTAGCAGTAGATGTAGCAGTAGAAGTAGAAGTAGCAATAGTAGTAGTAGGAATAGTAGTAGTATAAGCACTAGCGGTAACAGTAGAAGTAGTAGTAGTAGAAGTAACGGTAGCAGTAGAAGGCCTACTAATAGTATTAGTCGTCTTCGTAATAGTAGTAGTAGTAGTAGTAGTAGTAGTAGCAATGGCCTAGCAATAGATAGTAGTATTAGCAGTAGTAGTGGTAGTATTAGTAGTAGTAATAGTAGTAGTAGTAGTAGTAGTAGTAGTAGTAGTAGTAGTAGTAGTAGTAGTAGCGGTTGTAGTATAGTCGTAGTCGTAGTAGTAGTAGTAGTAGTAGTAGTAGTAGTAGTAGTAGTAGAAGTAGTAGTAGTAATAACCACCTTTATACTAATATCATGGTGGATTCCCCCCTTTAAAATAAGTGTCGGGGTAATTTTTCTATCTGTATACACTGTGCTTGAATTAACAACTTACCAACAGTAGAGTAGCTGAATAGAAACTGTCGTTTCGTGACATTTCAATTGCAAATATCCAGTGACTGAATATAATATAGCCGAACAGGGGAAGGAGCTTAATACTGGATCGGGATCGTTGGGAAAAGGAAATGAGTGTAGCGTGCATAAATATTGGTGAACGGGGAGTAGGACAGACATTCAGAAGAAGAAAACAATCCAGGGAAAGGAAACTAAAGGGAAGAAAGTATGACAACCATCATTCAAATATCAATTGGCGAAATAGGAACCTGGAATAAAGATGACGTAAATATTTATAGATTTTAGTAGACATTTTGACTGAGTATGTAAATGGAAATGAAAAAGTAGCGCTAAGAGATGGGTTTGGAGTTGGAAATTGTTATCGCAGCTGTAGATTGAAATGCCTGTTTTTATCTATCCATCTCCCCATTCTTGGCCTGTTTCTTGTCAATATCCAGACGAAAAACCGCTGATTAATAAGCTCTCAAAATACTTTCCCTCATCGGAGTGATATGTTTCGCGATACTCGTATCAGGGAGGGGGGGGGACCAAATCCCCCTACAAATACGTACAAGGAGGGGGGGGGGGGGGGAGGGAGAAACAAAGAGAGAGGATAAGAAAGAGACAAAATAAGAAGGAAAAGGAAATAACCGAAGAAAGAATGAAACAAAGAAAGAAAGGAAGAAAGGAGAAAAGTCATCACGTTTTGGTGACGTTTTCTTTCTAACTGACACAAATGAGTTGATTTGCTTTCAAATAAAACAAATATCAAGATGCTACTTATATATTTTTTCTTTTCGTCATAGGGTCATGAAACGCGGGTAGAAATGGGAGAAAATATTTCAAAGTTTGATGTAATATGCATACATGTTTGATTAAAGTGAAAATGATACGATAATGACACTGAAATCGAAACTGAAAAAGCAGACGGAAAACGGAAGAAAACAAATTGGTACTAATTCAAGTGCAATTTAACAGAAGCGCATCCCTCCAGCGATCAAACGTGAAGAGCCATTTTAGTTACGGTTTTGAGGAGACGGTTGATAGAGAGAGAGAGAGGTGGAGAGAGAGAGGAAGAGAGAGAGAGAGAGAATCAAACAATTAGAGGAAGAGAAATAATATCATGGTCAGGTTATAACAATATACATAAAGAGAGGGAGTAATAGAGGGAAATGGTGAGAGAGAGAGAGAGAGAGAGAGAGAGAGGGGGGGGGGGGGGGGGGGGGGGGAAAGATGCCAGTCCAACAATGGGACATACATAAATTGTAAAATGGTTGGATGGACAGAGCGAAAATGAGAGAAAAAGAGGGAGAGAAAGAGAGAGAGAAGCAGAGTCCTCTTCGTTGAATTTTCCCTTTTGTTATTTTTTTAAATGATTTGTTTATGCATGGCCGGCATGGCGTGGGTATTATTCTCCGGTGGAAAGTAGGAGATATCCCCATCACCAGAATAGAGCAAAAAACGAAAAGAAAAACGAAAAGAGAACGCCACGTTGCTGGGCATCTTAGTCGCCATGGTAACCGAGGGCATCTAGCTTAGAAACAGCGAAGAGTAATGCAATTACAGGGAATAATGGAGGTTAGGAGAACTATTCATCAGCGGTAAAAAAAAAAAAAAAACCCTATGCATTGCAATGCACAGAATATCGCTCGCGGAGAGAGAGAAGCAGGGTACCCTATTACTAGTACATGCCTGATAGAAATTATCGATTTATTTTATTTCAATGAATTCAGTAAGACATTTTACGGCTTCGCAGAAAATCATTTTTTTATTTGGAAGAGATGTTGAGACCCACTCATGCAATCAACACCAGAGCCATCTCTACAGACAGGGTTTGGCCAATCGATGGCAGTAGATATTGAAAAAGCTTTTTTTTTTTAAATTGCTTGTCCGACAAAGCAAAGTGCACCATGATAACTGTAAAAAAAACTTCTGGTGAGTTATCTTCCAATTTCGAGGATATAGGCAGGCCAACAACAAAGAGAAACACATACGCAAACGCGCAAACGAACAAACAAACAAAACATAAATAATGTCATTTGGTTACACCAGTGTATCTTTTAAATACACAAACTGTATGATCATAATTCTCATGTGTGTTGTCTATAAAGCAGACACAAAAGTAAAAAGACCAACAACAAAAAAGGAAAGAGAACAAGAAGAAAAAACAAACAAAAAGAGGTCAGCCAGCAGCAACAGCAGTGGCTACAACAACATCAGCAATAACAACAACAATTACATAATATAACATGACGTTTAGCCCCCCCCCCCGGGCTTTGCTGAAATACAGTTGTATGATAGTGTAGACGTGTGTATCTATATCTCATAATAATCCGAGATACACACATTGTTTGATACTTCGATTATTCAGATTCAGATTCATTCAGATTAATTTTATTGGTCCATTTGGAAATTCATTTGTTGGCGTTACATAGGCACATGAACAATATACAATAGAAAATAATTTACGCGAATAGATAATATACAGTAGCAAATGTACAATGACAAATTACAAATTCATATGGAAACATGTACAATGACAAATTCATATGGAAACATGTACAATGACAAATTCATATGGAAACATGTACAATGACAAATTCATATGAAAACATTAAGTCGTTTTTACAAAGTGGAATTATATAAGAAAAGTAAAATAGATAAATAAAAGGACTTCCAACACTATTGAAAATGTACGATTGCGTAGAATTTGGAAGTAGTATTGTTGTTATATTTTATTATTATTATTGTTATCATTATTATCATCATCATTATTATCGTTATCATAATTATTATTGTTACTATTATTATTATTATTATTATTATTATCATCATCATCAACAGTATTTATTGCATGTATCATTCTTTGTCACGGTTTTATAGCTGAATCCTTTCTTCTTTCTTTCCTTCATAGATTAAACGGTATATAACTACAACTTGGAATAACATATGGCATCATAGGGTATTAATAATTTATTTGCTCGTGATACTGGTACATTCGGTTGAAAAGGAAAGGAAAGGAAAGGGTACAATGCAAATTGATGACTAGCGAAGTGGCAAGATACAGGCTTATTCAAATTGACTGGAGTTGTTCATTGTATTTACGAATGGAAAGCGGGACAAAGGAATTAAGGAATCGTGAGGTTCGAGCCTTCATTGATCTGTACCGCTTCCCCGATCGCATTAGGGTATAGCAGTGATGAAGGGGGTGGTTAGCATTTTCCAAAATCTGGGATACCTGTTTCAGTATTGTACACACGCATTCCTGTTTCAGATCTGTTACTTCGCCAGTCATCTTGCTAGCATGATTGGATATTCTCTGCAGTTTCTTAAGGTTATCCTTTCTGCACCCACCGTACCAAACCGCACAACTAAAAAGCATTACACTTTCTATTACTGACTTGTAGAATAACATCAGAATGGTTCTGTCTACATGGAACGAATTCAGTTTTCGTAGGAAGTACATTCGTTGTTGAGCCTTTGCATACAGAGATTGGCATTGGTCTTTCCATGAGAGTTCGTTATCAATTATTGTACCAAGGTACTTAAAACTCTAGCCCCTACTGTTGATGGGGATGATGTGTAACTGATATGCAAATAAATGAGATATATTATTTTCGAGCCTTGGGCTACGATTTCTTTATTGTTTGTTGGACCAAGGAGATATAAGTAATAACTTCTCGGTTGGACCAGAAATGGTATTGATGCAGGTTTTATAATTATAACGGTGACCTTAATATCTTTCGTTTCAATTAGCTTGTTTTGACCCTGTAAAATCAATCGCTCGCATAATACACCGGTATGAATCGTGCTGCCCGGATGCTTTCGAAGCATCTTTTCGATCGCATTATTGCCTGGCAAGAAACAAGCTCACAAACGCCATTAGCTCGTTAATGCGACTGATGCAGCTTCATGTTTGCACTGTTCATTTTTAAATCACTTTCATTATGTATGATGTCACTACTCTCACATGGTGCATGCGCCAAAAAACGCGTCAGACAAAATGACGCTTCATGGATAACAGGGCATATAAATCTGGCATGCACGCTTTTAATCCCGAACATCAACAACAACACCAACAAAAACAACAACACATGGATCACCTCATATACCACAGAGATGTTTCTCGATGAAAAGATTTTCAAAATACTTGATTTTCTTCTTATAATCAAATGAATACAAAAATGTATTTCACATAAGCATGGAGGAAGAAAAGGAGGCGAAATTCGCTGTATGTATCACAAATATGATTTTCATATATGTCATGTCTCGTTTCGAATCCATATTTATTCGTGTCTACTCTTCCTTTGTGAAAACATGCGCCACGACGGCACAATGCAGATATTATTTCAGCCTTTGAGGCCTCATTATATTTTGTCTGTTATTATAGTAGTCCAGCGAATTCATTTTGAGGTATCGCAATGGCTGTCGCTATAGGGAAGGAGAGGGGGGGGGGGGGGGTGAGAAGATTGCTTCAACATTCTATTCCTCCGATATTCACGTTCGAGGGTAGCAGTTCAAGTTGTTATAAGGGAGAGCACTTTCTCTGATTCACACAAATGAGGGACATTTTTTGTTACACACGTAATGTATAGCATTGCATTTCAAAGAGGGTGGGGAAGGGGATTACGGATCGTTTCCCCCTTCTAAATTGTTTTCCAACACTACCTGTAAGAATATTTCGTTCGGCATGCTACCCTAGCCGTGTTAAGAAGCAAGCATCGGTCCTGTTCTTAACATGATTCCGTTTCTCTTTCTCTGTCATTCTCAGGAATTTTCCAGTCACGGAGAAGCTATGGAAATTTAACAAGATGGAGGCAGAGAAGATCTATCTATTCAAGCAGCTCCTATCAAAACCCTGGAAAGCGAACCAGGAGCACCTTCGCCAATTCAGGTAATGAATTACGTGAAGTATAGAAACCATGCGCACACTACACGATTCTCCTGCGATTCCACTTTCGTATCAGAAAGGGCGGTTATATTAAGTATGGATATCTGAACAACCACTGTTCTCCTTACTTAGATTCTAAATAATGATACGATTGAATTATCAACCGGAGGTTTAGCACATTTAAGCCTTAAAAGGTATAGACCCCCCCCCCACTCCAGGGTCAGAGTGACCGCATGCGTGTTCCCAAAATGTCCGGTAAAGGGGTACTTTTCACGCACCAAAGTCCGGCTCGTAGTACACAAAAAGTCGGCCCGTATTGACTTTACACACCGGACTTTAATTGTTTTCAAAAGGAGGGAACATTCATACGCGTAACCTAAATAACACTGAGTGGGGGGGGGGGGGGGGGGGGGGGGGGGGGGCGGGGGGAGGGGCGGGTATAGACCAGTTTTGGAAGCCCCCCTCCCCCGCTCCAAAAAAATGAAATGGAAGCTCTTATTACCAACCATGTGAAAGAATAAGTTTTGACTAATACGTGATGATACAAATGTTGCCATATGGACTGGATAGATATAGGGTAGTCCCATATACATCTTTCTGTGTACAGTGGTTGTAACTTTACCAAGACTGGGCCAAAGTTCTTATCATTTTGACGATTCTAGAACCTTGCAGGACACACCAATAGTTATATGCTAGATGATCAACCTTTTCTGATCGATTCCACGTTTCTTCGACAATGCAATCGCATGACCAAAACTGGTCTATACCTTTAATAAATATATAGCTTTCAACCGTAGACAATCACACTACATAACTGACGTCACTGCTATTCTGAGCCGATTTAGCTTTTTTTTTTTCATCCGAGGGAGAATGAAATCCCTTTTAAAATATAGATTTTCTTTAAAATTATCATATGACTATTCAGATCCTCGGTTATCAAGATTTTACATTCATTCATTATTTTTTTTCAAAATTCGATCGAAGTCGGATTGTGTAGAGTGGGCGCAGGCTTGAAGGAAATAGGTTAGAGAGGAGGAGAAGAAAAAATGTGAATAATGAACTAGGGAGAAACAGTTGGAGATAAAATTGCTCTGAGAAGGTATAGTGATTTCGCTGTGAAAAAAACGTATTTATTTGTATGTTGAAAGGGAATAACTTTGTTTTGAGAAGTTGTGAAATCATCAAAATAAGAAGAAAATTATAAAATCCTGCTGCACTTCCCAAACAATAAATATCAGTGACGGAGATACACGGATAGGTATATCTGGGACTACATACAAATCTGGCGACAAAGTTTGGTCCTCAGCTTTTAACTATTTCTAGTCATGGTACAGAATTTGGTGGTATTGCATGATTTTCCAATATGATATATAAAAGAATGAAGAAACCTGACAAGATTTACCCCACCGTACGTATGATTAGGAGAACCAAAAGCTATAACTATCAGACGTTCCATCTGAAATGCTTTTTTAAAATTGGGAACGGAAGATGAAAAAGATTTAAAAAAATCAGAGGTTCAAAACGTAAGTAAGTAATCAGAGAGAGAGAGGGAGAGAGAGAGAGAGAGAGAGAGAGAAAGAAAGAAATATAGAGAAAGAGAGAGAGAGACATACAGAGGGAGAGAAAGAGAGAGAGAGAGAGATAGACAGATAGAGATAGAGAAATAGAGGAAGGAGGGAGACAGATAGATAGATAGAGAGAGAGAGAGAGAGAGAGAGAGAGAGAGAGAGAGAGAGATAGGATCGTGATACAATTCGATGAAACGAAATTTTATATAAAGGTAGAGATACCGTACGAGTCGCGATTGATGAAGGGGTATTTTCTTTTAATACTGGAAACGTTTCCCTGCCGGGCTAAAATGGCGGCCAGCAGAGCCGCACTTTGTTGGCGATGCATCCCGCGCGCCAGGGGGAAAGGAGATGCATTATCACTAATAGACATATAGGATCTCATCTCCATGACATTTAATGAAACGTGTCTCGAAATCTCGTCCTCTGAGAGTCAGAAGGTTTGATTGATTGATTGGTTTTTATTCGACAAGCTTCCAACATGCAACAATATACAATAATAACAGATCAGAAATAAGTCAGCTTGAACAGGATAACCCACGAAAGCTCGAGAGCTTATTTCCAGTGGGGTCCCTTACAGACATGTATAAAATTAATAACTTAAACTAGTAATAATTATTTACAGACAGATAAGAAAAATAAAAGAATTCCTTATTAAAGATAATAATAATAACAACATTAAACTGATGATAGAAATGATAATAAGAACAAGAAGAAAAGGAAGAAGGAGAAGAAGAAAAAGAGGCGGAGGAAGAAGAGGACAATAATGATGAATTTGTAGAATTTCTATAACGTACGAAAACATAAGTATATACAAAATGAAAAAGTATGAACCGGCAGAAGAATACAACTTTCAATCATATAACATGTCATTTACTTCTCTTATCTGACTGTCAAGTATTAGATATTCCTTTAATTTCCTCTTAAAATGAGCATAGTTTTCTATTTCCTTTACACCATTGGGAAGGGAATTCCAATGTTTTATAGCATTGTAATAAAACGAATTTCCAATACTACCTACTTCTGTGACGCGATGATTTTTTAAAGCCCCACTGCACTACTTAGCTACTTGCGCCCTCTACAAAGCAAACAATGCCTAATCGGTGCCTGTTGGTCCCCCCCATGATCCTCTTTTTTTAATGTTAATTGAGAGCTGATTTGATGAGATAACCACCTGTCAGTGACCTTGCAGGGAGATCTAATCCCCCTGGCCAACTATTACAGATGGGCTTTAAAGAAAGAAGGTGGAGCTCTAGTACAGGATTACAATAATATTAACCTTCTCATTCTCTTTATGGTGTAAGCTTTGAAGAAAGTCATAACTAAAATATTATTGAAAATGATTACTCTTTAAGTGCCCTCATATCTAAAATATGACAAGAAATAGACAAGAATAGAAGTGTTTTGAATAAAAATCTGCCATGCTAGATGTGTGTACCCGCATAAACCCGTTCATGGGTGTGTAGTGGATGTGTTTTTCAACAACTTGACTGACTCGATTTCTCGTTAATTATTTGATGATTCGGAGACCTCACCGTACACACACTGTATACACAACTCTCACGTACTACCTAATCAACCTTTCCAAAGTGCTTCTGGACTTTTTCCTCCAAAATCCTTTCACATGGTTTACATTCCTTGTTATCTTTAATTCATATATCACCTTACGCCGAGTTACAAGTCCCTTCTGGCTTTTAAAGGCATCGTTTAACAATGTTAAATCTGAGATGCACGACCCTACGTGTTATCAGTGTCTGTGATATGGTGTAATATTAAAGCCCTACAAAAATTGCACTTCAAAATGATCAAGAAGTGCCTCAAAAAAGTAAAAACCTTTGAGTGACCGGTTTTACCATACTCGTTTTCACCAATAGACTGTAGTGGTATATGAAAACCTGATTGGCAAACGCAAAATTTGATTTCGATTTTCAATCATAAATATCTTGATAATCAGACAGGCGATCGGCTTGTAAAAGTCCTGGGGTTCCCGACTAACCTAAAGGTTTATAATTATCATTGCAGCAATGCAGCATGAGCTATATCCAGGATTTTATTTCAGAATCGGAGACAAAGTTACCCAATCCCTTTAACAGATAATGTTGCAGGTGGTGGCGGGGGTCATGCCCAGTCCGCATCCTCACCTTCATGACTTTGCGTCCTTGTATCATGGCAGGTGCACTGCTGAAAGCTGTATAATACATGTAGTTTTGCCCTCTATCCCCAAATCCTTATTGTCATTGTTTGCCATAAATTTTTATCGTAGAAATGTATGACTAGATGTTGACAGCCATTCAGGATGATTCAGGGTACAGGGCCCAGTTGCACAAAACTTACCATTGATGGTAACTTTGCCATCAATAGTTTGTTTTATGCAACGGGCCCGGTCAGGAAATTGCAATAGCAAAAGAACTGTCTAGAGGTCATTGTGAATGACTAAGTAGGCCTATATGGCAAATTTGTGTTTTATGAGGTTTTGGACTTAGTAACAAAAATCAATTAATCCTGCTGAAAATCATAAATAATGTTAATCAAATAACACACATTCTTGAATATTTAGTGTTGCATATTAAAGGATGAGGTATTTAAAATAAAAGTGGTTCACAGATTTGTAATATTTTGAAGCATTTGTGAGCACTTGAAAAGTAACCCTTTTCCTGTTTATACGGCTACTATATTATGTACATGTACGTCTTCAAAATGAATATAAAACATTGAGAAAGCTTCCAAATTCCTCTTCACCTTTTACAAGAAACCAGTATTTCATCTGAAACCACATCTCTTGATAGCCTGAAAACAATATGATTCCCTAAAATCTAATTTGTCACTCGACACGAATCCATATTCACTCTCCAAAGCTTCCACCGGTGTAATGTCTTATGTAAACTTCACTTCGTCTTTCATTCTATAACCTGGGGATAGTAAATGACACGTTTGTTATCCTCGGCGAAGTACTAGCTTGCCTTGACCGACTTAATTGAGCCTTTGTCCTTCCCTAATGCATTTATAATTGGTGCAAGGTATGGCGCCGTTGAATTCTATAACGTTTCGGTTACACTTGCTCTGTCCGTGGCGTAGCTACCGGGGGCGGGCACGTGCCCTTTAAATCGAATGGCGATACAGAAGGGGAAAAAATCGTTTAAGAAAGAAAAAGAGGGGAAGAGCAAGAAAAAGGAAAGGTTGGCGGGGAAAATCACGAGAGATGGGGGCACTATTACCAACCCCACACCTTTTTCAAATTGAATGGCGAAACAGGAAGTGAGAAGAAAAAACGAGGAGAAGAAAGGAGGGCCAGGGGAGAATGGGGAAAGGATAGGAAATTAAGTCAATATGAGCCCCATCCCTTAATCGATGACCTAGTTTATTAACGGCGTTACGCTTTCCAAGTAAGATGCACCTATCAGTGATGCCAGTGTCTCCCCTATCCACATCCAATCC